CAGATCTGAACTTTAATGGAAAACAATTCCTTTATATTTTTAATTGAATTTTGGGATGAAAGCCTTTCTTAACATCCCAAACAATGTAACTTGAGCACTTCTAGTTTCTCTGAGTGTTTACATATATATATAGAAAAACTGCCTAAGTATTGCCCACTCACATCCTTAAAAGAAGAAGAGTGAATCCAGAGTTTAAGATTAAAAGCAATGTTTGCATGGAACATCAACCTTGTGACCTCCAGGTCCAGAGATATACAGAGTACAAACGAAGGGCAGCAACACATGAATTCATACATGAGCAGCTGCTCTGGCGCAGAGGGAGCTGCAAAACAACTCAGTCCTTAGTATGGGATCCCCCCTTGATGTTCACACACACACACAGACACACACACAAGCACACAGATAGTGAACTGCCTGATTGCTTGTATGTAATAATGGCTGCGAGGGTTTACCAACTGCAGGAGATTGTCCAGCTGCTCTGGGATTTCTGTGTGAATGCTCCACTTTTCATTTCCGTGAAGCTTATTTTTAGTGATGTTCTTTTTAAACAATGTAAACTACTATTTTATCTGCCTTTTTTGTTCTTGATTATAATAAGTTTAATTTCAGAATGGTTTAGAATTGGTAACTACGGAAGCGTGTTGCTGTCATTTGAGAAAGTGAAATTTTCCTAGTTATATTGTATAAACTTGCTAATTATATTGTATAAACGTGATAGTATATTGCACAAATGTGATAATTGTATAAACGTGATCATTATAGTGTATAAATGTGTTGATTATATTATATAAACATGATATATTTTATAAACGTGATAGTATGTTGTATAAACATGGTAATTATATTGTATAAACGTGATAATTATATTTTATAAACGTGATAGTATATTGCATAAACATTATAATTATACTCCTACTCTGGGATCCTGTTTGTGGACTTTTGGCCATCAACCCAGAAATGAAGCTGTAAAAAAACTTTTAATCAAAAAAGTTTTATGAGATAACTTTGCTATTTTCTCCACTTTAATTATTTCAATTTGGGGTTTTTTCCAAGTGTCATTTTTTTCATGTTTTATTTTCACATTGAATAAAAAAAAAAAATACATTTAGTTTTTTTCAATTTGTATTTTTTCCATTTGTTTTATTTCTCTTTTTCAGAATGAGATCCATATTACATTATTTTCCAATTGTTTTACAGATCACACTCTCTTCACTTCTGGAGGAAGGCTTTTCCCTGGGGTGGGGAGCAAACACAAATTTCTTTTGGTGTGCATGAATGTTAGAAATGTCATTTTTATTGTTATTGGTAACTGGTTTGTGTTGGGCTTGAAATGAACAGACTGTAATCTGGAAATAAGTTTGGAAAGAATGCAAAAACTCAATCTGATAAAGGAAAAATATAAATAAAGGATAACTTGAAAAAATATCCTTTAAAAAATTTTTTTTTGACAAATTTTAATTTGAAATCTAAGAAAAAAATAAATGTAAAAAAAGGATTGAGGATTAAAAAAATATTTAAAACAAATTGTATTTAAGAAAACAGCATAGTTACTCTCAAAACATTTTTTCCAGTAGGAAGTTTTTCAAAGTTAAATTTTTAGATTAAGAAAATGTTTTATTTGCTTTCAACAACAATGTAGAAAATTAGCTCAATGAGAATAGGTCTGTCATAGCTCTGCACTTTTTGGTTCTGTTTAAGTTTTCTTTTTGAGTTTTCAGTTATACTTTTTATTCTCGTCTTTCTGTGTTTTCTAGTTTATTTGGTTCCTTTCCATTTTGTGTCATTCTAGTTGTTTTTGGCTATATATTTGAGTGCTTTTATATATTTCTTGATTTCCTCACTGTTGCCACCTTGTGTTTGTTTCCTTTCCCCTTGGCTTCCTTGTAGACGCTTCCATCCACACCTGTTCCTTGTCAGCTCATTAGTCCTGTCTTTGTTCTGTCTCCCATATATACTCTCCCTGTGCAGCTCCTCAGTGCTGGTTCCTCATCTCTGGCTCACCATGAAAGCTTTCCCCTGAAGTTTTCTGGAGTTTTGTGTTTTATTTTGGTTCCTTGGATTTTTGCATGTTGTATTTTTGCCTCAGTTAACTTATTAAATCCTGATCTCTGCATTTGCAATCCTCCACTCCATCATGACAAAGTGTGGATTGCTAAATACAAACACTCACTTTAAAGTTTTAATTTGTGAAACTTGCGCAAAAACCTTTTAATTGTTTATCCCTTAGAGATCCTTAGAGATACATTAAATGTTGATGTTATTGTGACACAATGTAAAAAAAAGTTGAAGTGGTTTGACAGCTTTTTAGAGTTTTTCACTTTAGTCAGTGTAGCGCTGCTTTTGTTTCCTCTAATGCAGGGGTCTGCAACCTGCGGCTCCAGAGCCACATATGGCTCTTTGGACCCTCTCCAGCGGCTCTTAATAGCGGCTAAAATGCATATAAAGAGCTAAATCATATACTATAATATATACCGGTATCAATAGCTTTAGCTTTTTTTATAAGATGGAAAAGAAATGAGATTAAAAGAACCAGAAATATGTTTTAAGAGACATTTTTGAATGAATTAGCTTGAAAATTATACGTTTTAACATTAAAAATATATGAATTGATTGTTTGAGATGGCAACAACTAATTTCCTATACAAGATTTAAAAAAAAAGGTTTTCTAGAAAAAGTCATGGTATATTTTGCGGCTCTAAACAACTTTTATTTGGTAGTACTCTGGGCAAAACGGCTCTTTGGATATGAAAGGTTGCAGACCCCTGCTCTAATGCCTTGTTAACCCTTAGCAGAGGTTACGGATTAGCGGACTGCGGTCCCGATCCGGACCCACCAACTTACTAATTCCGAAACCAACCTGATTTAAAACATTTATAAATTACTGCATGTTGTGCGACGACAGTGTCTAACTTCACTTGTGCCGCTTCTCCTCTTAATATGGTAAAGCCTTCCGAAGCTTCCACCACCTGGCTACGTGTGATACAAGCTGTCAGTCTGGGTCACTGCAGTGAGCCACTGCAGTTAGACTTTTAGGCTACATTCACACTGCAGGCCTTAATACTCAAATTTGATTTTTTTGGTAAAATGCTATTTTTTTTTTTTTTTTTTGTGCTGTTCACATTTCTAATATATGCGACTTGTATGTGATCTACTGTGGGAACTGCATTCATACAATTGCAAGTGTCCTGCATGCACAGTAGATAACGCAATGACGTCACAGGCCAGCGTGCTTTGTGTTTATGGAAGTAAACATGGATGGTAGGGCCGGAACACATCTAGTGATCTTCCACAACCATAAAAACAAAATCTTTCAAGATCGTTAAGATCATGGTTGTGGAAGATCACTAGATGTGTTCCGGCCCTACTGATCTCCGCATTATCATCCAGACCCTGAGCTTTGTTGGGTATTATTGCCGTTCAGGTCCGATAAATGCGACCTGGCCGTTCAGACACAGGTCGCATTTGAAAAGATCAGATTCGTGTCGGATTCAGGACCACATAGCCAAGTGGCCTGGGTTGGATTGGAAAAAAATTGATCTGTGTTGTTCAGATTGTCATGAAAAGATCAGATACAGGTCCCATATAGGCAAAAAAATCGGATTTGGGTCACTTTAGGTTGCAGTGTCAACATAGCCATTGACACTGCAGGAAAACCTGTGGCAAGTCGGGCGATGAGAAAAAGAAAGCAGAGAAAGCTGGAAGAAGCGTGGTAAAAAAAAAAGTGAAATGGTGTGCTCAAAGATGACCCTGCATACTTTTGAGTATGTTTGGCTCAATCTGCTGCTGCGAAGCAGGATTCTGAACATAATCAAAAATAAATATGGATCCAGGGTCAAAATGAGCACCTCGATATGTGCTTTAGAATGGCTTTTTATCTCCATTCAAACCCAGGTTTAAAGCGTAAAGCCCACTTCTCTCATTAAGAAATATATTTATATAAAAAAAAAAAGGTCAGTTCAGGTGTTTTATAAAATATGTGAATCAGAAAATTATTTATATACCAAACTGAGCGATTGTTGTTCTATACTTCAAAAACAATTTAGATTTGAAAATGGGAACATTTTATATATTTTTTTATATTTTCTTATGAAAAAATTCAATGTATAACATGGATGCTTAAAAACCCTCTTTTATTTCATTGTTAAATTCTGTTTAAAGTGACACATTATAATTAAAAATTCCTCCTGAGCTTTACTGGTTCTTGATTTTCGTAATTTGGTGACCCCTGACCTATACCAAAGGTATACCAGGTATTAAAAAATATATTTTTGAAAGCACACACCTGGTCAGTTACAGAGAAGTTTTGGTGGAAGCTTTATGCAAAACTCATCTGTCACTTTCCTCCTCCTCTTTGTTCCACTGCAGCCTGCAGCGCCCCTGGGCGAGAGCACAACATCACTTAGAGGAAGGAGCATCAATCACCAGTAGCGTCTCATAATTAGGTTTCAGGGGTGCTGTCCTGCATCCCTGGGAATCAATCCGCCCAGCTGGAGCTACACCACAGTGTCCACACGGAACAGCGGCTTCTGGCGGACCTGCTCTGCGCATCTTTTACGCAGATCAATCGGAAAGCGCAGCTACCGCCTGCACATGCTTCACGTGCGTTATTCAACCAATGATCCCCTCATTACCTCCTTTTTAACCACAAAGTAGCTCTATCAACCCCAATGTGCCGCATTTCCAACGAAACTTTCACAAATTCAATAAACCGACCATATGGCACAGAATAAACCACAATTAAACAGCATTTAAATAAATAAGGAAACGATAAGCAGCCGGAAAAGTTCTAACCAACTTTCCTGTCAATCATCTCCTTGTTTTACAAAAACATCCGATTAGTAAATTCTTCAATACGTGGTATTTTTGGATTTGTTTATGGATGAGAAATGTTTAAGGACAAAAAAGGTTTTGGTTGAAATTATGCAAGGAGAGGAGATGAGTTTCTATATGCTGAAAATAATCAAAAATGAGAAAATAAAGAAAGAACTGTAATTACTTACAGTTTACAGGGAACCCTGAAAGCATCGCAGCGAGTCCGGTAAGTCTGGTTTTTCTCCTCACTTACACGGATTTAAGCATCGCATCCAGATCTCTGCTTTCTGCTCTTGTGCGATGCAGCGGATTTTTCTGCTGCAGTCCAAGAAAACAGAGAGAGGCTGCGGGGGAAGAGCTGAGTGCGATGGGAGGGAGGGGAGCGAAGAGGAGGGAGGGAGGGAGGAATGGATCTGTAGTAGTAGTTGTGGACAGACTCAGATCAGCAGAAGCAGGTCTGCATTCACTTGATATACTTTAACATCCTCTGATAAAAGCAATGAGAGGATGCGGATAATATGCTGACATTGGAAACAAATGATATTGGAAACAAATGATGGGACTGGAGTGGATCTTAATAAGAAATGTACAGAAACTTCTATAGAAAATAGAAAATCTCACAAAGCAGCTTCATTGGTTCAATTACAAACCCCTATATATGGAGCTCCACAATTGCAAAAGTATTAGTGTTTTGGTTAATCCCAATGGAAAAATAGACACCTTTAAGATTATTGCAAAAATTTTTTTTTACTTTATCAACTATTTTGTTGCGCATTTTAAAGTTTGGCATGATGCTTCATGAGAATAGCAAACTTGAATAATTTGTGCTAATTTTCACAAAACAGATTTTAGGCTCAATTCAGGTTTTTGTCTTTCTTGAAAAAGCAAACGTGCTTAAAGGAATAGTACACCCAAAACATGATTAGCCTTCATTTTCTACTCACCCCCATGTTGAACAACACTCTGGAGTACTTTTTTGATATCTCAAATGCATCTGGAGATCTGGGAGGCTTCTTGCTGTCTGCTGACATTCAAATAATGGAGGTATATGGTGCCTGAGACAGAAAGGTCCATAAAAGTCCACAAAAAACGTGTCAATATTCCTCCATACTGCTCGTCCAATGTATTCCAAGTGTCCTGAGTGGGTAGCATCCAGAATTTACTCGAAACAAAGTCATTTAGAATGTTTTTAGAGTATAAACAGTAGTGTATAGGACTTCCTCGCGCATGCGAGTTCACGAGTCTACGGAAACCGCGGCAGACCAAACCAGATGAAAGTGCGCATTCAGCGTCTGCTCTGCCGATAATGCAAGCGTAGAAGAAGAAATGTGCTGTTTACCTGTGCAAAGAAAGAAACAACGAAAGAAGAATGTCTGAGGACTTCAGTGTTGAGGAAGAGCATGAGTTCTTTGCCGAGCTGAATGCGCACTTTCATCTGGTTTGGTCTGCCACGGTTTCCGTAGACTCGTGAACTCGCATGCGCGCGCTTTTAGGAAATCCTATACACTACTGTTTATGCTCTAAAAACATTCTAAATGACTTTGTTTCGAGTAAATTATGGACGCTACCCACTCAGGACACTTGGAATACATTGGACGAGCAGTATGGAGGAATATTGACACGTTTTTTGTGGACTTTTATGGACCTTTCTGCCTCGGGCACCATAGACCTCCATTATTTGAATGTCAGCAGACAGCAAGAAGCCTCCCAGATCTCCAGATGCATTTGAGATATCAAAAAAGTACTCCAGAGTGTTGTTCAGCATGGGGGTGAGTAGAAAATGAAGGCTAATCATGTTTTGGGTGTACTATTCCTTTAAGCTTAAACATCAGCTGGCTAAACAAAACATTTATTTAAAACAAAAAAAAAAAACAATATTTTACTTTGAAATGTAGTGGAGCGAAAGTTATAATTACCCCCCACCAACAAAAAAATTATTAAATAATTAATTAATTACACAAGTAAGGCAAAGAAAAGTATTTTGTTACATTCCACCACTGGATATAATTGAAATGACATGCACTGATGTTAAGTAACGGGGGGATAAAGTCTTTAAAGGGACTCTCGATTTGTTATGACATTAGATTTTATTTGAAAAATATTTATTTTCGAGGCAAATGCAATAACTTGAACATAATGTATAGGTTTTAGTTTTAATACATTTAAATAAATGAATTTTACACAGATGTGGCCGTGTTCTTTACACTGTAATGCATTCTGGGTAAATCAGGTATGCTAGGTCCTCCAGCACTAGCTCTGTCTAGCCAATCTGGTAATGAGTAACAGCAAACCTTTTCAGTTAAAACTGGAACATGTTGACATTGATGAGAATGTAGAAATCAGAAGAGGTCATAAAGATGTGGCGGACCAAATGGAAGAAGAGGAAAGTTGGCTGAAGAAGTGGGTGTTTGTGTGGCTGCTGCTAGTAGATGCTAACCCAGATAAAGAATGATGCAACAAATAGCTCCAGTTTGTAATTAAAGCTGTTCACGGAAAGCAACAGAATCGAAACATTTTCCCAGATACATCAGGACGGTGTGTTCCATTGACTCAAAGACGCTCTGTTATTTTAAACAGTTGTCCGTTATCTTCTGTTTTGATTTTGTTTTAGCTTCTACTAATGGCGTTAACTCCAGCTAATATAGTAAACAGAAGATCACAGTAGGTATCTCATGTATAATGGTTCATGAGAATTTTGGGGCAGCGACATAGTGACAATGGCTGTGTCCGAAGGTCCGACCTAATCACTGTTTAGCACTGGTGGGCGGTGCATATGGTACCTAGGCCTTCAGTGGACACACCTCTACTCAATCTAATTCTTATCCGTTGACGTCCAAAACTTCCAAATTTGTACTTTTGGAGACCAGTGATGGGTGTCAAGGTGTCATTATCTACACTTTAATCTACACTGCTACATTTTAATAAGATAAACCACCAATAAAACTCAAATATGAAATATAACAAGCTGTCATGATCTGGCCTGTTTGCTCCTCCCTAATTAGTAATTCCTCTCACCTGCCCTTTTCCCTCCCTGCCTCAAGTATAATTTATTCCTCTCACCTGTTTCCTCTGGTTTATATTCAGTTCAGCCTGAGCATTCAGTTCCAGATCATTGCTTGTCTTTTTGTCAGTCTTTCTGTTCAGTTTTATTTGGTTCATGTCCTGGATCCTAGCAGCCAGTGGAAAGAGGGTTTTAGTGTTTGTCTCGTCTCCTGATCGTCCACTGTTCCTCCCCCGGGGAGTCCTTTGGGTTTTTGGCTCTATATGTGGGAGGTTCAGTTTTTATTCCAGTAAGCCTGGCTCCAGGGAGGAGACCAGTTTAAAGTCCTGCATCTAGTTCTGGTTCCACGTCCTGTCTCGGCTACCTTCTTCCACTAAGCCTGCTCATCTGCACCTGATCCTGTCTGCTCCTGTACGTGACCACCTAGTCACACTTCTGGTCCCAGTCAGACTCTGAACCCTTCTGGGAGCTTGTGGATGCCTGGAAGTCTGGATCCTGCCACCTGTTCTGTTCCTGCCTGATCTGGATCCTGTTCCTGTCTGTTCTGGATCCCTGACTAGGATCGGCTTCCAGCATGTCCTCTGGAACTGCAGCACTTGGGGACATTCATGGACTGAACTGCTAAACCAGGTAAGTGACTCACTGAGAACATCATCTTCAGTCAGATGATCATGGTCACTTACCTGTGTTTCTCCTGCAGAGTGTCTGTGATTGGGCGGTGCCCCGCTCCCCATCCTGCAGTGTCCGCAAGCCACAGCTCCGTTTTTGTTTTGTTTATTTAATAAACCTTTTGAACTTTCCTACTGACTGTCTCTCCTGAATACTGGGTCCCTCTCTCCGCGTTTCATGACAGGCCCACAGTCTGCCACTCTGGGTCCCTGAGCAAGACCCAATGGCAGCCCAGTGCTTCCCAAGGGGATGGGTTAAATGCAGAGAGTGAATTTCATTGCTCTTTACTTGTGATGTGTAATGACAATAAAAAAAAAAAACCTGGAAAAAAATTCAATATGGATCTGAATACCCGATAACGTAGAGCATAAAGTATGAAAATAAAATATATCACACTCACCAGATATATTTATAAACAAACTCCATCTTTCTGTCTTTGCAGGAATACTTAAGAGAAGATAAGACTTTGCAACCGCATACATCAAATGTTGCTTGGGTCTGGTCGTGAACCAGTTTTGCAGGTATGCTTTATGCTTCTGCAACATTGGTCTGGAATTTCTAGGAACGCACAGCAGTTTCCCGCCAAAGCACAACGGGGAGCCTATTCGAGAACTCACGAGAACTTCGGCGGGAGTTCACAAGAACTTCATTTTAGCAGAGACCTTGACATTTTTATATAATTTGTCTGAGGCATTGAATAAGTGGCTGTACTTGTGAACCTCCTTGATTAACCTTTCGTTGTAGCTGTCCATTGTAGTTGTTCCTCGGTTTTTAAAAATGGCGCGCCCTGGCACCGAATCGAGAAAGACCACCAGACAGACAGCCGGAAAGGCATACCAAGGACCAATCACAGCGGCTTTTTGTCTGCGCATTTCTGTCTTATAGTCAGGATTTTCTTTTTTTTTTTGACAACGGTTGCAAAACCTCTGCATGGGGGACGTGGTCGTCCACAGAGACAGATTTTAATGGTTGCAGAGGCTATGCATCAGAAGCATAAATTGGCCTTTAGTATCTCCATTTAATATCAGCAATTAATATCAGCCCACCTTTGCTATATGGGGCACAATATAGTGGTTATGCCATTTTAGACATGTGTCCGAACATTTACTGGATAAAAAAGTAGTGAACTCGACACTTCTCACCACTCACTTAGTAGTGATCATCCATGGTCACTAGATTAGCGGATATATCCTAGAATGCTTTGCGAGGAGAGCTTTCCTTGCAAAGCATCATGGGATTTGTTAAGGTGGCAAGAAACAACGAGGCACAGTGCGGGGAGGTGGAGTTACCAACGGGGAGCGAAAAGTAGTGATCATCTGTCCGAATTGTCAATCAACTGAGTTCACTGTGAAGTCCACTAAATAGTCCCCGCTCTATATATTGATCTAGGGTTTTAGGGGCTAGGGCGGATGTTCTGACATAGCTAGTTTCACACCTATCAAACCCCATATAAAAAAAAAAAATTCTCTGGTAATGTTAGCCTTCCTGTGTTTACTCTGTAGGTTCTAGCCCAGTAAGTCATCAATCATCAATCTAGCATATAATTTATGAGGTAATAGCAATATTTCTATGTATGAAGAAAATTACAAATTTAGGCCAGCATGTTCAATACTTGTGGATCCCTTTAGGGGAAATTAATGCTTACAAACCTAATTTACAG